AAATGAGTGTTGCCATCAACTAAATGCATTCACATACCAGAGTTGAAAAAACACCATCACAGTGGCGTTCTATCGTAGCGTAACAGCCGCACGAATTTTTTTCCCGACCCCCTCCATTACCCTTTGACATCTCCAAACTACCCACAATGGACATTTCACCCCCTGTGAGAAGAACTATCACAGACGGAATTTACACACTTCCGATGGTAACACTTTGAAAGCAATTCAATTTCAGAGACTCGCACAGGACAAAATGATCCCAACTCGTCTCACCGCACAAATGGCCATAAATATTCACATAAATACAATTTCGAACATAAAACTTTTTCAGGTGAATCCATTTTTTCAACACCAATATTGCATTAACGCCTCTCATAATGATTAAGTGTTTGTGATCTCTGATTATTCCGAAACGAAAATGCAAATCCCAAGCTGTTATAGAATAATGGGCAAAATTCGCTGAATGTTTGATGAGGAATGGAAAACAATTCAGAATAAAATTGTACTTCAGCTATTCTCTCATTTTGTAGTGAATCATACGAAAATGTAAACCCGATAATTGGTGGTGTCATATATACATCGTACATGTATCATTACTAACATTCGTCAGATTTACTTCATTATTCATCCTTAATCATCAATCTGTGAAAAAAGCTATTCGAATAAGTTCAAAATGTTACAAACATTACTCATAGCTACCTACCAATTACGAGCGTGAGTTGGTTGAAATGCAGAATGCTATGAAAAGAACGTGAATGCTCTATCAATGAACACTGATCATTCGTACATCTTAACTGAAATGAATATTTTTTGAGGGATGTGAGGATCAATTTCTTGTCGAAGTGATGATGAAACTGAAACATCAAACGTTTTCACCTGGTGATTTCATCTTTCAAAAGGGCGAACATTGTCGAGTGAGTGAGTGTTGCTGATATGAACACCCCACTGCTCATGACCGCCTTAATGACGCTAGAATTATGTGTGAAATTTTGAAAAAATTCCGCTCTTAGCTTCATGAATATGATAAATATAAATTTTAGAAAGCAGCATTTTATGCATATGCTTAAATTCAAGCATTCACCGACAGCACTTTCACGTCATATATATATAACTTTTTCAAGTGTCACGTTCAGACCATCAGTGCACTCAAGTTTGCCTCTGAAGATAGAACGTGACTTCAACTTGAGTGCTTTCCTGAGGAGTTATTCGTTTGTCTGTTTGTCCACAGATGAACGGAAATCGTACTTTGAAAACGATAAAAATGATTTTCGTTGAAGGAGTTACTCATTGTGAAACGTGGTCAACTGCAAGCCGAAAATGAGTACGGGCAAAGTGTTTTTCTAATAAACGAAGGTAGTTTAGTTGATGCCCCGTCTGAATGAGGGAAATCATTTTTGAATGAAATTTGATTTTTTTTTCGTTTCTAAGGCGAAGCAATTGCGTAAACGTTCGTTAGTTGTTAACGTCATTTTTTTGAATCATTACAGACTGCGCTTTTGGTGAACTTGAATTAGTGGGACGACGAGCATACAGGCACGAGCTAACTGTGAGATCGATAGGCTATTCGGATGTCTTCTTTCTGACGAAAGCAGATCTATGGAAACTGTTCGACGACTATCCCAATGAAAAAGCTCGCTTGTGTGCGAGATGTTCGTTTGTTTCTTTTGCTTGTTCAAATTACCGATCATTTTACAAAATATTTCGAACGCTTCGATCGAAAATATTTCGTGTTCGCTCTCGAGTAACGTTTTGTTCAGGTAAGGATCTCTCCGAGTAGTGGTTCATGTGGGACATTGAGATCAAAAAGGTTAGGGAGCAAAATTATCGGCGAATAGCTCACCGTTAGGTCCCCCGCTCTACGATTCACACTAGTAATATGTTGCTGTTGGTGAACGGTATCGATCAGTTCATTCATCTTTCGTCAATGCCACCTTTCATAGCACACGGCACAATTTCGACTTACTCAGTTCAGTCGAATAAATCACAAGGATTTTATTCCGGACCGGACGGAAAACTCCGTGAAGGTTTCCTCTCACTATTTATTCGATCACTTTCAGCCGAGAATTTACTCCGGAAGTCGACTCGTACGCAGACCAGATGTGATTTCGACGAAATACAAGCTTCAAGTATTGATGATAGACTGAATGAAATTCTGCATGGAATCGAAATGCTCGAACGGATCGTGAACGATAACTTTGAAAATTACAAGGTTCTGCCAGATATACCAGAGCATTTCTTCTTCAGTGATCGCATGAATCTTACCAGTTTTGCAACCTTATCATAAGTCGAATGTGACTGCATTCTTGTGTTAAGAACAAACTGGTGAAAAGCTTCTGGATTTACTCAGATGCATGACCATCTACTACGATAGTAACTCAGTCTGTATTAGTGGGATGGGTGCGATGGTAACCAATTTCCACATTGAAATATTCCTCAAACATTCACATTTTAACTTTTCTGAGAGACTCGCAGACTTATGACCTGTTTCAAATCTTATTTCAGGACTGTCACTAATTAATTGTTGGATATTCTCCTGCATAATTTTTTGGTTTATTTCTGTAAATAAAAGTTTTCTTTTGCTGCAGAGTACGTTCGACGAAATAAAACAACGTCTGACGCGACTGGAAATGATTCATCGAATCAATCAACTGGATCAGAGTCACCTTCCGGCAGATGTGACTTTTCGTTGTTCCTCTTTCGATAACATGTGATGAATAAATGT